GCCAAAATACTCACTGGGCACTCATTAAGTCATTAAAAGATGAGCACCCCACTAAGGCATTTTCAGAACGCCCACTGGGCCCTGGGAGTCAGCTCTGTCCCTGGCTCTAACAGGGGCCAGACCCAGGCTCTCAATCTATGAACCACGGTGGGGGTGTTGCCCAACTCAGCATCTAGCTTCAAAAAGAGCAAGAGCCAGTGGCCCCCGCCATGCCTGGCCTCCCCACCCGGCCCGCACCTACCTCTCTTTCCATTGGTGCCTGCCTCTCCCTTTGGCCCTGGGGCCCCGGGCAGCCCCGGGCAACCTCGGAGAATGGTGAGCTTGTCAGAGCCCTCCAGGCCCACCACCTTCACCTCTGCAGAGAAACACAGGTACCCACTCAGTGCCTGGCCCAACAGTGGCTGGAAAGTGAGGTTTTCAGCTCTGCTGGGGCCTTGGTCTGTCCTCGCCCCTCGGGCACTGGTGAGGCGGAGACGTGATGGGGGGAAGAGTCCTGGCGTTGGAGGCCACCCCTACCTAGGGGAGCCCCATCTCCTCAGTGCTGTGTGTCCTGGGTCAAGTCACTTAACTCCTCTGAGCTTTGTGCCCTGGGCTGCGAAGTGGGGATAATAACAAGGTTGTGGCCAGGGCTGGATTAGAGAATGTACATTTTAATCTCTTAGTGTAATTCGTGGCATTTAGAAAGAGCTTAATAAACAGTGGGCACTTGCAATAAACAATGACAATCAATGTTTCTAAGAAACTTGGGGAATTGAGGCTGACAAAGCCTTTTCCCTCCCAGACCTTGGGAATGTGGTTGTGGAATTACTGGGCTGGAAGGGGCCTTCTAGGTCCTCTGGAGAGGGGCAGTGTGAGGTCCAAGGACACAGAGCCAGGTGTGGCACAGCTGGAGCCAAACTGAGGGTTTTCTACTTCCTTGAAAAACTATTTTTCATGTTGTTGATTATGAAATCAATATGCCCTGCTAAGGGCGCCCTTAGAGACTGGGGAACAGAGCAGCGCTCTCACCGGAGACACGGCAGCTGCCACTGCTTGTTGGATTTTTTTTTAATCTGTCCTCACCCCTGGCTCACTGGTCAGAGCAAGTGTAGACCACTTTTTTATTTGCTTAATTTTTCTCATTAAAAAAGAATACTTGGTAATGTTGGATAATCTGGAAAATAAGACAGGTTTAGGGGAAAAAAGTTAACTCACTCATAACATAAACAGTGAAGGGCCTCTGTGGTGTGCATTTTCTTCCTAGCCCCACCCGGGGCCTTTCTCCACGGGACCCATCATTGCCCTGGTCCCCTGGTCCACCACGAGCAGGCTCAGGCCATGGGGCCCACCAGGGTTTTTGGAAGCCATCCCGGGTTCTGAGCTCAGAGCAATGTACTCCAGCGTGGCCACGATGCAGGGGGGCCCAGAGCCTCCCCCAGAAGGCAGAGCTACCGGTGGAGCTGCTGGGAACCACCTGAGTGCCCCCAGGAGCTCAGGGAAGGAGGTCTGGAGCCCTGGGGTCACATTGTCCTCACTGGACTACATCAGGGACACAGTGGGGACCACCTGTCCCCAGTGCCGGGCACATCTCAGGCCAAATTCCCCGCAGAGCTGGGGCTTGACTCTGCTGGCCACGTCCAGCTGGGTGGTCTTCCAGTGACACGATCGTGGCACAGACTCTGACTAGGCCCACCCCCCACCAGCGCCCTGTACGCCCGCCGCCTCCTCACACAGCTGGTGGGACTCTTAGGACAGCCCTTCAGTGGAGGATTCAGCCCCAGGGAGACTCCCCTGCTCCATGCTCTGAATTTGGGACCTGGCCCGTTTGACCCCAGGGCTCTGTTCCTAACCCCTGTGTTAGCTGCATCTGTTTCTTTGAGCCTCTGTCTCCTCTTTAAAGTGCGAGGCTTAAAACGAGCTGTTGAGAAACTAAGGCAGGAACCTTCACAAAGGGCGTAGTACCGGGCCTGGCGTGCTGTGAGTGGTCAGCAGGTGGCCGCTGTCAGCTTCCCAGAGTGTGATCGCTCTAAGGTCCTAACCCCCGGGGGGACTGACTCACCTGGACAGGTGTCCTCAGTCAAGGCCATGGTCCACAGGAAGGAGAGGGCGAGGAGAGCAGGTCCCATGGCCACGGCAGCTTGGCTCAGCCTTTGTGGCTCTGGTCTTTGCCACTGAAGGAACTCCGTGGTTCTTATAGGGTTGCAGCCGCCCACTGTAACCTCTGTCTCCATTTCCCAACCACAGTGGGGAAGGCCACTCCCTCCTGACAGCTTGGTGGCACCAACTGGCGGCGGAGACAGCCTCAGGGCTGCTGCCTTCCGCAGGCCCCACAGGCTTCCCACTTAATGAGCCTGGCTTCCCCTGGCAGGGATGCTCTGCCCAGCAGAAGGCTCCCCGAGGCCGGTGTGGAAAGGGCCTGCCTGTTTGTGTCTTTAGGGAAAGCTTGGCGGGAACACTGCCTGAGGCCCGCAGCAGGACAGAAGGGCTTGTGGAATCCAGCCCTTAAGGAGATCACTGACCGAGAAGCTGCTGTGAGTCCACAGAAATTTAGGAACATCCACTGCGGTCTGAGGTGATTCCCAGGGGAGGGAGAGGGACGCAGGACGATTACCAGGGACCTCCCTGGGCCAGCGTGCAGGGAGTTGGTTCCAACCCTAGAGGACATTGGCTGGAGAAAAGTGGTATGAGCAGACCAGGAGCCTTGCCAAGGAGTGGCACGCTGGCACTGGATCAGGCTCCCGTCCAAGCCAGTGCTGCCAAGATGCAGGACTGTGAATGAGTCGGAAGCAGCTTCAGGTGGGAGCGGGGGCAGGGGTGGGGAAGGGTGGCATGCAGTTGCTCGCAGGGGCCACTGGACACCTGCCCCCTGAACAGGGGAATTGGTGAATTGGCCCCAGCTTCGAAGTGAGGTGATCCGCACCTCTTGGAGGACAGCAAAATCCTAAAGCAAACGCTGGCCTCGGGTTCAGTCCCATGAGGGACAGGTGGCAGGCTGTGGCCCCAGCTGCACCACCAATGGTCCCTGTGCAGGTGTTAGAAGGGTTAGAATCATGACCCCAGGTGGAAAAAGCCCTGTGAGGTTCCTCCATGGCAGACCAGTTCCATGTCCCTGGCGTCCTATGGGCCTGAAAACACAAAGCCGTTCAAAGGCCTCGACTCTGACCGTGCCAGACCCAGTGTGAGCAGAACGTGGCTGGGAAGGGCAGGCTCCCAGGGGTGTGTGGAAACGGAACTCAGAGATGTGGCCTCCCTCCTGGCACCTCCTCTTCTCACCAAAGTGCCACGGGCAAGACTCACACAGAAACAGTGAACCCCTCAGAAATGGTAGCTAGAAGCCCACGGCAGGCTGCCCGGATTCCCTGGCCATTAGTCACCTGGGCTCCCTGAGTGGAGACGGCCTCCTGGGTAGGTGTGCGTTTCTTCTAAAGTCTAGACAGGATCGAGAAATTGAATTTCATAGTATGAATATTTTAGCATAAAGCAATCTATGCCAATTTGGTATTTTGAGGAGTGGAGAATTTGGCCTATGTCAGTGACACCCTGATAATCCAATTGAAAGTGTGAAATCGAGGAATTGAACGAGTTAGTGTGTACAGTTTTGGAACATTTAAGAGACCTCCCCTAAGTTCATCACAGTCATATGTTTAAATTCTTAGATTTTGAAAAACTAGTTTATACACAGAAGGCTTTGCTAAAGGTAGAAAGCTGAAGTACTAAAACATCAATTTAAACATATTCATTTTGGAAGTGCAATCAAAATGTTCAAAACTATTAAATGAACTAAATCGGTGATGGACCAAGAATTATTCACAGGCCTCATCAAGGACGTTATTAACATTTGCCTGTTACAGGTAGAACAAGGTTTATCCGCCAAATTTCAAGTCTCAAGGAAGCACTGGACTTTTGAAATTGGGATTTTAATACATTGAACAAATTACATTGGACTCGAACTTTTTTAAAAAGCGAAGTAATCCACAGAGTAATCTCTGTGTGAGAAATAAAAGTAAGCAATAAAATATCATGGAAGGAACCACCCATATCACCAGGACTGGGCACAGGTCGGCTGCTGGGCCTCTGAGGGCATTTTTGCTAAGGATGAGAAAATGGGGTCCATGGAGCTCCCTAAGGGTCTACAGATGCTCCTGCCCCACCCCCGGCCTGCCTATGGGTGCTCCATAGCATCATTCCTTGCGTCAGCACACAAGGATTTGGCTTCCAACTGTTGTGGTCTCACAAGTATGAGAGAAAAAGGGCTTGTGTTTAATAAACACCTACTATGTGCCAGGTACTCTTTTATGCCCTGTGGTGCAGTAAGGAACAGAAAGACCAGTCCTTGTGCTCTAGACACCTGTTCTATTGAGGGCAAGCAGAAAATAACCAACTAGACAAACAATCAAACGAATGCACCATTATAATATCAGATCATATATCTCAAGAAAGCAATGTGGGCTGCAAAGTAAATATGAGTAGAGAGTATTATTAAAGTAAAGCAAAATGAAACAGCTATCTCAGTGGCTACACACAC